GGTGAGTGATTCGTTGTAAGAACCCTCTTAGCTCGATCCCAAATCTGAAAGCGCAGATCTGGGTGTGTTTGGGTCATCTATCCGGTATTAATCCGCAACTACGGAGAAATCACTACACCACAACTGCCCCTGTCGCAATGGAAGCCACGGTACTGGTGCCCGTTGTGATATTTCTTCATTCTCCAATTCACCATCTTGTTACCGTATGTCCAAACGTTTGAATCTAGCCGTGTCCGACGTGTTTCAGCGTCTCAATCCTCGTAGACGTCGCGAACGTGAACAGCTTGAGGTACGTCAGCTTATCCTTCTCTTGAATCATCGGCACCTTGCTCATCATCTCGCATTACTCGACTTGTTTCTCAGGAGAGCAAGAGCGAGGGTTCGAACGCCCCTCAGTCTGCTGCACTTCCTCCGACAGCAGCGTCATCAACCGGGCCTTCGGCGCTTTCTGCCCCGGACTCTTCACTCCCTGCGGTAGCTCCTGCAGCACTCCCCGTCGTCGCTGAATCCGCGGAGATGGCTCCTGCTGCTCCTACTGCGCCTGCTGGTGGTACACCACCACTCACCGAAGATTCGCTGCGCGCCATGCTGGCTGAAAGTACGGAGGCATCGGTCGATCACATGATGACCTCGATAATTCTGTACTTGACTGCAATAGCTCGTCACCAAGTGCAGCTCAGTGTTGCGCCTCCTCTCCACGGCGATGTACACGCTCAACGTCGCCTCGAGACTGCTGTTGGCTTCGATGATGTCCTCGCTGCGGTACAACCTCTTCCTGACGCGCTGTCGGCATTACCCGAACGAGTTGCCGACTTGGAGCGTCAGTTGCGGTTTGCTCAGTCCGAGGCTGCTGCCGCCGTACGTTCGGTGGCACCCGAAATCATGGCTCGTGAGAACGCGGAGGTGTTCTTCAAGGCTGCCAACGCTGAGATTGAAGCCCTTCACCACAACGTCAAGATTCTCCGCGAGTCGAACGCCAAGAACGACGCCATGCTCGCCACTGTTCAAGCCACTATGGAGCGACACGCAGAAGACTTGAATCGTCTGCACTGCGAGGTCCAAGCTCGGGACGTTTTCATCAACACGCTGCACAAAAAGCTGGCTCGCGAACGCGAGGTGTACAAGTCTTCTATTGGAGCGAATACCGAGCAGACTCGGAAGCTTCACCTCCTTCTGGTAAAGCTAGCCCAGGGCAAGTATGTTGATAACGACACGCTCAAGGTCCTCGAGAACCAGCAAGACCGTAACACTCGCCTCCTCCAAGCGAATCGCACCTACGTGAGTCTGGCCGGGATGGATCCCGAGGTACTTCGTCTGGCTGTTGATGGTACGCTCCTAATGTCGCTCCATCCACCGTGTGTTCAGCAACTAACGTTCGTTCACAATCCTTCGTGATAGGTCTGACTGCGGGTGAGCTGGACCTGGACGCGCTGGACTTGGATCAGGAGACGTTAGTCGCTTTGCGGCGCATCCAGTCTGCTACCGCGTCTTCAGACGATCCCCAAGCCCTTCCTGCAGCTTTGGCCAAGGCCGCTCACCAAGTGGCCCATGTGAAGTCTCATAAGCATCTTAGACCAGGTGGCGAGGATTCAGACGACGAGCCGGACGACTCTGACGAAGACAAGGCTCCAATCCCGACGGACAAGGCCAGTACTTCGATGGCAGCTTCTGGTCTCGGTGATGCGCCACCTACCGACACTTCAACTCCCAAGCCGGCTCGTAGGTCGCTATTCGGTCCGAAGGCATGGAAGCAAGCGGCCCAGAAGAAGCGCCAGAAGACTCGCCTTCACTCTCCCGCCAAGTCACCCCGACGTCATATGAAGTCTCGGTCCAAGTCTGTACCGTCTTCTCCAAGTTCATGGTCGCCACCTCCTACACCAGCGTCTTCCTCAAGCCCTGCCGTGGTCGACCTCAGCGGCGACCAGAGTGACGTGGACATGGGGAATGCTGATCCAAGCAGCGTCCCTTCGGTTCAAGAAACTGCCACAGAGTTTTCGGGTAAAGATGTGGACCCTGGGGGTCACGACGATGTTTCCGGGCTTCCTGACACGCCTTCGCCCCCGTCTCAGGGTCCTCCCGATGTGGCCAAGCCACCAGCTTCAACGATTTCTCCTTCTCCAGCCGACATACGTGCTGCTGAAGAAGCTCTGCGCGAGGCCGAGCAAATGCGACTCATGTTCGGCTCAAGTGATGAAGGTGAAGCGTCGGACCACACTGTCCCACAAGGCAAGTCTGCTTCGGCGTCTGTTGCGACGTCCAAGACGGTTGAAGTCTCGAAAGTGGTTTCTACAGCAGGGTCTGCCCCTGTTGAAGCTGCTCCACCAGCCTCCGTATCTTCAAAGCCGGCTCCGATTGTTCCGACGGCTGTCGTACCAAGCGTGTCTTCGCCCGACTTTTCGATGGAGATTGATGACGATAAAAATGCTAATGACGATCGTGGAGATGACGTGGATGATAATGAACCTTCGGTGGATGATTCTCCTGATGCTCACAGTGGTGGCGGTGATGTTCCGCCACCTATCGATCATTCAAGCACACTCGATGACGACGATATTGAAGATTCCGAGAGAAATTGGAGCAATCTTGGTCCAGCTCGTCCTCCGACTCCACCTCGGCCAAATCCTTCGCCGATGATGTCTTCTCCAATCATAGTTGGCGGTCCGCCTCCTTCGCCACGGCAAGTCACCCAGCACCAGCATCTTCTCCTCCCGTTCAGGTGTCTCCTCGTCCGCCTATTTGGACTCTCGATGCTGGACCTGGGCGCATGATCACGGCCACCTACACTTCGGTGCCGCGTCGTGGTGGTGCACCGTCGGTTGAGCCGTTGCCTCACCGAGTGTTGCCTGGTATTCGCCCTACGGTGCCGGCTTCGTCTACCTTGCCACCGTGGGTTCTTCCGTACGTGGACA